GATTTTATAATTTCTTAAAACATGTTAATTATTATTTTTATTTAATGTGTATGCGTGTATTGCCTGCATGTAGGTAAGTGCACCAGTGACATGCAGTGTCCACGGAGAACAGAAGAGGCTGTCAGATCCCCTGGAACTGGAGTTACAGACAATTGTTAGCTGCCATGTGGGTGCTGGGACTCGAACCTGGGTCTTCTGCAAGAACCACCAGTGTTCTTAACCACTGAACCATCTCTCCAGCCCCTGTATAATTTCTTTTAGAGATTTTCATAATATAGGCATTGACTGCCTAAAATTTTCCTCTGTGGGGCTAGAGAGATGGCTCAGCAGTTAAGAGCACTGACTGCTCTTACAAAGAACCCAGGTTCAATTCCCAGGACCCACGCGGTGGCTGTTAAGTTCCATAACTCTAGTTCCAGGGGAATCCAGTGCTGTCTTCTGATCTTCATGGGCATTGCATGACATGGGTGCACTTACACACACACACACAGGCAATACACTCAAGCAAATAATATAAAAATAATAAATAAAATGATTTTACAATTATTTCTCCAAGTACCATGTTAAATGGAGGTTAAAACCTCAATTTTGTCTTATAGGGTTTATTCTGAGTACAATGTTGTATAACTGAATTATTTCAACTGTGAACCGAAAAATGTTGAAAGAGATGCATCTTCGCTCTGGAAATTATTACTGAATATGTCAATGCCGTTGTAAGGAAATGCTTCTTTTAATCAAGTGGCTATTAAATAAATAATTTTAAAAATACAAGCACCTAAGAGGTAGACACAGGCGGATCAGAATTTCGTCCTCAGCTCAGATAGGGGGAGCTCGAGGTCATCTTGGGATACCAGACCCCCACTCAATAAAATAACATAAATCAAAACGAGGCAGAGGGGCCAAAGACCTGAAGCTGGCTGCGACCCCAGACTGACTCTTGTCCATACTGCTAGGGTGAAGGCCCTTCAAGGCCGGACAGTCCTGGCTCAGAGCCAGAAGTCCCCAGGTGCCATAAATGGAGTGCAGGCAACCCAGACCCAGGCCGGAGGTTTCCTTCCATCTTCATCTCATTCACCATACAGGACCCAGTAAGAACCAAGAGGAAAGAAGGAAGGAATGACAGGTCCCCAGCCCCACGTTCCACAGCATGTGGGACCCACGGGGGGCGTGCCAGTGCCAGGCCCCCCGGGGACGCGTGCCAGTGCGAGGCCCGCGGGTGGGGGGGTGCCAGTGCGAGGCCCGCGGGCGGGGGCGTGCCAGTGCCAGGCCACCCGGTTGGCGTGCCAGTACCAGGCCCATCGGGGGCGTGCCAGTGCCAGGCCCCCCGGTTGCCGTGCCAGTACCAGGCCCCTCGGGGGGCGTGCCAGGCCCGCGGGGGCGGTGCCAGGGCCCGCGCATGCGCAACCGCTCGCTCTGGCCCGTCCCTTCCGGAGGCTCTGCGCGCGCGCTCTGAGAGCTCCCTTGCGTAGGCGTTGGGTCGAGGTTGCGTATAAGCAGCCGGCAGCGGAGCGGGTGGGTCGTAGGACGGAGGCAGCGGCGCTCCCGGCGAAGGTTGGGGTTGCTCGCGCGGCGGCCGAGGAGGAGACTGTGCGGCCCCTCCACGCTCCTAGGCGCCGTAGCCACGGGTACGTTGAGCAGCCGGGTGCTCCGGCCCGCGGGGCGCGCTGAGCGGCCTACGGGTCCGGCGAGGGTGCTGAGGCGGCCCGCGGCTTCTGCTTCTGCCGACGGGGGCTTACATGCTACTGCCACCCCGACTGTGAGACGGACTAGGACGAAGGCGACGAGCAGCAGCGGCAGCTGAACACTCCGCGCAGGTACCGCTCGTGACACCTGCGAGGCTGGGCAGGGGAAGCCGCGGGGGCTGCGCGGGAGCTGGGCGCGTTCGGGGCAGACCCGGGTGAGTGCGGGGCAGACCTGGGGGGCTTAGGACACTGCCCTTTAAACAGATGCTGCCTGCTTAGTGTCACAGCCTCAACCTGACATGCAAAACCCGAGCTTGCATGTCCTCACCCCAGAGACCTCCCCCCGGGCGGGCGCTCCCCAGTACGGTCTTGAGTGGGTAACCGCAGAGAAACTTTTGCATCCACTTACCAGTCAGTAGAGAGGTCCGTACTACTATCCGAGATTGACACGTTTCTGTGTTGTCGGCTTGCACGGGAAGTAATTGCACACCGCTCGCTCTCCTCATCTGTAAAGATGAAGATTGTCAGTACTGTGCATCCTCCGCGCGAATTGAACAAAGTCTTCTCAAAGTGCGAGTTGATGTCAACGGCAGCAGTGGTCTGTGTAGCAGTACTGTAACTCGCTTAAGATATGGGGGGAAAGAGTTGAAAAAAATAATTGCTTGTGAAGATGTGGATTATATACCAGAATGTATTTTCATATAACAGTCTGCTTGCTCTTTTTGTTAAAAGGTCATTGGTAAATTACATAGATGTAATTTTTCCATGAAACTTTAACATATGGCTTACTGGATATTTTGCTAGACAAGCATTACAAATTTATTGGAGGAAAAGTATGGGTACTGGAGATTTAGCTCAGTGGTGTAGCTAGCATTTAAATATCATAGGTAAAACTAGATTTACATGACCTTTCACTAGGGTTTTATGTGCAAATGTATTTACACAATAGACACCCAAGTGCGAATATTTTCAAGAATCAGTGTAGCATAGTCTTTGTGTGGGAAAATGATTAGATGCCTGTGAGACAGTTTAGAGTTAGATTTCTGCAACTTGCTCATGTAGTGGAGTGCATGTGGGAACACAACTGCACATTCAGTTTACCACTTGAGCTAGAATGTTAAGAGTAAGGAAGGCATGAGGTGCAAACTTAGTCACGTGCCTCCTGTCTGTGCATAAGTAAAGGTAAGTATTAGCTTTCCAGTGAGTGAACTACTTTCTTATTTGCTGTGCTTGATTCTTGCAAGTATAGCATCGGAATACAAAAGAATGTGTGAGATAGACATTTGAGAAGTGGGTGTGGTGGCATCGGCTCTAATCCCCTCAGTATGGAGACTGAGGCAGGAGGACCCAGAGCTCCCTGGGCTACATAGCAAAAGCCTGTCTCAAGAAAAAAATAAGTGAAAATTATTTTCATTAGTTGTGTTTTCGCAATTTTCAGGAAAGTAATTTAGTGGAGAACACCTGTCTAGTTGGGTTTGAGATGCAGAACCTGTGTAATGGCACCTCTCATCTCTCCTTAATAGCAGTAGGCTGAACACATCCCAGTAGGTATGCCTTGTTTAACAAGAAAGAAAC